ATTCCCAGTTGGTCAGAAGTTTACATACACTCAATTAGTATTTGGTAGCATTGTCTTTAAATTGTTTAACTTGGGTCAAACATTTCGGGTAGCCTTCCACAAGCTTCCCACCATAAATTGGGTGAATTTTGGCCCGTTCCTCCTGACAGAGCTGGTGTAACTGAGTCAGGTTTGAAGGCCTCCTTGCTCGCACACGCTTTTTCAGTTCTGCCCACAAAATTGAGGTCAGGGCTTTGTGATGGCCATTCCAATACCTTGACTTTGTTGTCCTTAAGCCATTTTGCCACAACTTTGGAAGTATGCTTGGGGTCATTGTCCATTTGGAAGACCCATTTGCGACCAAGCTTTAAATTCCTGTCTTGAGATGTTGCTTCAATATATCCACATAATTTGCCTTCCTCATGATGCCATCTATTTTGTGAAGTGCACCAGTCCCTCCTGCAGCAAAGCACCCGCACAGCATGATGCTGCCACCCCCGTGCTTCACGGTTGGGAAGGTGTTCTTCGGCTTTCAAGCCTCGCCCTTTTTCCTCCAAACATAACAATGGTCATTATGGCCAAACAGTTCTATTTTTGTTTCATCAGACCAGAGGACATTTCTCCAAAAAGTACGATCTTTGTCCCCATGTGCAGTTGCAACCCATAGTCTGGCTTTTTTATGGCGGTTTTGGAGCAGTGTCTTCTTCCTTGCTGAGCGGCCTTTCAGGTTATGTCGATATAGGACTTGTTTTACTGTGGATATAGATACATTTGTACCTGTTTCCTCCAGAATCTTCACAAGGTCCTTTGCGGTTGTTCTGGGATTGATTTGCACTTTTCGCACCAAAGTACGTTCATCTCTAGGAGACAGAACGCATCTCCTTCCTGAGCGGTATGACGGCTGCGTGGTCCCATGGTGTTTATACTTGCGTACTATTGTTTGTACAGATGAACGTGATACCTTCAGGCGTTTGGAAATTGCTCCCAATGATGAACCAGACTTGTGGAGATCTACAATTTGTTTTCTGAGGTCTTGGCTAATTTCTTTTGATTTTCCCATGATGTCAAGCAAAGTGTCACTTAGTTTGAAGGTAGGCCTTGAAATACATCCACAGGAACACCTCCAATTGACTCAAATGATGTCAATTAGCCTATCAGAAGCTTCTAAAGCCATGACATCATTTTCTGGAATTTTCCAAGCTGTTTAAAGGCACAGTCAACTTAGTGTATGTAAACTTCTGACCCACTGGAATTGTGATACAGTGAATTATAAGTGAAATAATCTGTCTGTAACCAATTGTTGGAAAAATTACTTGTGTCATGCACAAAGTAGATGTCCTAACCGACTTGCCAAAACTATAGTTTGTTAACAAGATATTTGTGGAGTGGTTGAAAAACAAGTTTTAATTACTCCAACCTAAGTGTATGTACTCCCGAGTGGCGCAGTGGTCTAAGGCACTGCATCGCAGTGCTAGCTGTGCCACTAGAGATACTGGTTCGAATCCAGGCTCTGTCGTAGCTGGCCGTGACCGGGAGACCCATGGGGCGGCGCACAATTGGTCTAGGGTAGGGGAGGGAATGGCCGGCAGGGGATGTAGCTCAGTTCGTAGAGCATGGCGTTTGCAACGCCAGGGTTGTGGGTTCGATTCCCACGGGGGGTAAAAAATAAAATAAAAAATAAATAAATAAATACGTTAAAAAAAAATAGTAATGTATGCACTAACTGTAAGTCGCTCTGGATAAGAGCGTCTGCTAAATGACTAAAATGTAAATGTAAACTTCTGACTTCAACTGTATGTGTCTTCTGTTTCCCTCTACAATGCCCACAAGCTTAATTAGAACGGAGTGGACAAGAGCAGACACTAAATCAGACTGGGGGAATAAGAACATCATCAATGATGATGTTCTTTTCTACAAAGAAAATCATACAAAATTATTGCCTGATCTTCTGAACTTCCCAATAACTTTCTGATGGATTTCAGTCACTTCAAACCATAGTTACTTCAGATTGAAATACTGTCAAAACTACTGTCAGACTGATTTGTAATAGACTGTTGTAGCCCCAATGAAAAAAGTTAGCATTGGCCTTTCATTACATCACTTTTTTTACATGGTGGGGTCACACATTTTTTAATATCAAAATGGGGTCTCGGGCCAAAAATGTTTGGGATCCCCTGGTTTATAGTATGACCTATTTAGACAACAGCTTCAGATTCTCATTTAACTGTATAATATAATGCAATGTATCAGATCATTTAACTGTATAATTTACCATGTATAAACACCCTGACAGTCTCTCCTCTCCATATCATTGTCAATTTCACTCCTGTCATTTCCCATTGCTGTGGGGTGAGAAACAGTTAATGCAGGTCACACACACACACACACACACACACACACACACACACACACACACACACACACACACACACACACACACACACAGGACTCTGGTGCATTGAGACGTCATTGGTAGCGCTGACTGAATGCACAATCCCCGCAAGCTTCAATCGGTAGAGAGGACAGGACGCAGCCATGCTGACTTCCATCTGGTGCACACACACACACACACATGAACTCACACACATACACACATTCCCTCCCGGACAACCCCGCTGTCACTAGGCCCACAACGCTGACTCAATGCGAACGCCGCTTTTACGTGTCACTACACCTGAACTCATGCTTTTCAACGTCAGCATTTCAAATGCCAGAATGCACAGAGCCAGGATGCCCAGTTATCTCACCTATTAAGCCAACCTGGTCTCAGGGCAATTTGTAGGATTTTATACATACATTTGATCCCTCCATGTTGTATGATATATTACATTACATTAGTTTACATTATGAATGGAATAGCGGGCGTACAATATCAAACTAATTAGAGGACGTATAGTATCATACTTCTTACCTGGTCGTGCAATAGCATACGAATTGGATGATGTTACTTATTACAAGTATTGGCATATATATTATATTATACGTCTTTCTCTGAGACCAGTCTGCTTATTGCATTGGAACAACAAAGGAGAATTACGGTGTCACGATCGTCGAAAGGATTGGACCAATGCGCAGCGTGGAATGCGAACATACTTATTATTTATATTTCACCACACGAACAAAAACAACAAAACGATACGTGAAGTCCTTGGGTACATACACAAACCAACACGGAACAAGATACCACCCCACACAAATGCCAAACGACTACCTAAGTATGGTTCCCAATCAGAGACAACAAGCAACAGCTTATTCACGTTGCCTCTGATTGAGAACCACCCCGGCCAACATAGAAACACATAACATAGACTCTACACACCCTGGCTCAACATAACAGAGTCCCCAGAGCCAGGGCGTGACATACGGGGAGAATTTACGTTGGTGGTTAGGAGAACTAATGACAAAGGTTGACGTAGCAGGTTAGGTGAAAGGTTAGAATAAGGGTTAGGGGTAGGGTTAGCTAAAATATCCCCCGACGCGACTCGAACACACAACCTTTGGATTGCTAGGGAGTCGTGGTATATGCACACCCATCCTCCCCGACCAACCTCCCTGCTTTTGTTTCTGTCTAAAGTAACTAGACCATTAGTACATATTAAATGTCTTGGAGGTGCAGGAAAATACGCCTAGTATGCTTCGTATGGCTCTGAGGCCAGGCTGGATGAGCATAGAGGTGGTGTGTAGACTGCAGAGTGCATGTTATTAAAGGAATATTTTTGTTTGTGCACTCTGCTCTCATCTACTCAGAGCAAGAGAGTGAACATGAAGGAGCCCATTAGAGAGAAAATATTAAATAATATAACTCCAAGTCAATTTAAGTTTGAATCAATTTGTTGTGATACGGTTTTACCAACACCGCCTCATAAACATTTAATTTCAACTAAACTTGAGACAATTTCTAAAATGTAAACATCTCATTATAACTAGTACCTCATTATCACCAAATTACGCCAGAAAAATTGAAGATGAAAAAACACAGCACTGTTGAGAACAACAAGCAAGGGAAGCGTAAAGAGATTTGCAGTTGAAAAATAATTAGGATGCTGGTGGGGGATGGTTTACAAGATGATCATGTGTACCGGTGGTTGCCATAGGAATCAGTTTCAGTGTGACCAGCTTTACCTCTAGATGCCTGGAAAGTCTTATGCTACTGTGAAACCCCTAGGGAAATGCAATGGAAGGAGTCCAACTGGCTATGATAATGAACAACATCTAAAGAGAACAATAATTGAAATGCTACTGTCTGGTGCCTGTTTGTGTGCTTGTGTACAGCAGCAACCACGACTGTGGTCGTGTGCTATTCATTTCATTAACTGGGTCATTTAAAATGGCAACATGAAATGGGATTCCAATCACTAAAATCACTGCTCCACAGTTCCAGTTACTATGACGTTGGTGTGAGGCCTAATCAGTGGCAGCAGTTGAGCGCCTGGTCTAGAGAGAGAGAAGAGAGAGCAGTTGAGCGCCTGGTCTAGAGAGAGAGAGAGAGAGCAGTTGAGAGCCTGGTCTAGAGAGATAGAGAGAGAGCAGTTGAGCACCTGGTCGAGAGAGAGAAAGAGAGAGAGAGAGAGAGAGAGAGAGAGACCCCCCCCCCCCCCCCCCCCCCCCCGTGTTGGTGTCATTCCCAGCCCTGTTCTTCACACCTCATCTGCCTCGCAGGACGGGGCTGCATCTTCCATTTACAGCCAGGCTGCTGCTTTCCCTTGCCACAAAACTCACATGAATGGGTGTGTTCCTATTTCCCCTACTTTGTTTTGTTAGAATATGGTTTGGGACCGTGTTACGGTTTTAGGGGACATCAATATAAAACACTATTCATTCACTGAGCATACAGTACATACACAACTCTTCATACATTTTGCATTTCAACATCTTCTGCGTCATACAATTAATGTTTAGAACATCCAAACAAAACTTGCTTTATTCAAATTAAAGAGGGCAGCTCACTTTGACCGTTTCACTCTCCAAATCCTGAATTGTGTTCTATAATTCTAAAACTGTCTGATTTCTTTCATTACAGATGCAAGCAGTTGACCTACCAAGAGGACCTCCCTCAGATCTCAGTGGTGTTCATCTTTGTGAACGAGGCCTTGTCGGTCATCTTGCGGTCCGTCCACAGCGTGGTCAACCACACCCCTGCACACCTTCTCAAGGAGATCATCCTGGTGGACGACAACAGTGACAGTGGTAAGACTTCTAGTCTAGATGCTTCTTTAGTATAACCATCTAACTGTTCATTCCTTGTGGCTGTACTCAATCAATCAATCAATCAATAGAATTTATAAAGTCATTTTTACATCGCATTTGTCACAGTGCTGCTACTGTCTCCCGACCTAGATCCTAAAGAGCAAGCAAAACCAGAAGCTTCTACTAGATTGTTTCCAACATCTCATTAGAAGAACCACAATCCTTGTGTTACTGCATTTTGTTATGGCGCATTGCTCCACAAACATTACTTCTCCATTTCATTTTTGTCTCTTTAAAAGTGGAGGGTGGTGTCACAAACAAAGAATTGCATCTGTTTGTGTGTGGGAAAAGTGCCAGAGGTGTCAATTCCCTTATAAAACAAATAAACAGTCTTGATCTAATTAGTCAAGTTTCTTAACAAGAAAGAAATGTCTAACTTAAGTGGGATTCTCTCTCTCTCTGTCTGCATGTCTATCTATCTGTGTGTGTATGTGTGTTCACCCTCAGGGTTGTGCTCTTGAACACTGTTAGTGAATTTAAAAATAACCAGAAAAAATCTCCACTGTGATTTGGGCTGCATGAGGTTTTGGTTGCTTCCACACACCTGCACGCCCAATGGCAGGCGGCCCCGCACAGCCCCGACTCCCAGAAGCCTGCCTGTTTCAGAGGACAGGGACAGTGAACTAGATTTCAACTGACACTTGGCCCTCCATCACTTGGCATGGATCTGGGCGTAGTCCCAGCATCCCTCAGGCTGGCGCAGAGAGGAGGTGCATAAATAACATCCTGAAAGAGGACCAAGTAAGAGTCAACATTGGCACATGCCCACTGTCCCCGTAGAGGCAATAGGCAACCATTTAAACCAAACGAGGTAGGCACAAATGGCAGCCGCTGCGGCAAAATACCAACCCACCTACTCCCCCCTATCTGTCTACCCCATTGTTTAATGGTTGTGATTGGTGATGGTAATGTGTGCAGATGTAGAAGCTGTTCTCTCCAGTGACATTAGACTATTAACATGCAGGCTTGGCTACTTGAAGCACAGCTCAGAGGCAAAATGAGTCACACACAAGGAACATGCTTTTCTTGTCTCTCTGACACATCCTTTAGCTGGGACATGTATTGGTTGCTGAGAGGTTTCTTTTCAGGGTTACTCCTTAGCCATAGCTGGGCGGGCGGGGGAGCTAAATTCATGTTCTACTTGATGAGGATTTTATCTAGGTGTGTATACCATACAGTAGCAGTCCCAAACATTCATTCATTGTTCCAGCTCACATATTATCAGATGTAAACGGTTTAATGAGCCTGTTGGAATCCAAATCTAAAGAAAAGAAAGGGGGTTACCTAGTCAGTTGCATAACTGAATGCATTCAACCGAAATGTGTCTTCCGCATTTAACCCAACCCCTCTGAATCAGAGAGGTGCGGAGGGCTGCCTTAATCCACATCATCGGTGCCTGGGGAGCAGTTAATGTTGGTGGTTAACTGCCTTGCTCAAGTGCAGAACAGCAGATGTTTCCACCTTGCCAGCTCGGGGATTCAAACCAGCAACCTTTCAGTTACTGGCCCAACATTCTTAACCGCTACGCTACCTGGCTAACACTAGGCTGTCTACCAAATACTGCAAGTAAATGGATAACTAAATGGTACATATAATTAAAATATAATCTGTTGATCTGAAGTGACAGCTCATAACATGACAAGAGAGGCTGAATCCAAATACAAGTGTATTGCAGTTGATCATCAAGAGTCATTAAATAAAAATATGACCTCTCTCTCTCTCTGTGGGAAATTATGTTATGTAATATATGACTGCCAATCAGCCTTAATCAACATGGCTACACACAGGCCGCCAATCTCTGTTGACCACACAAGGAGCATTAGGCAGTAGACACAGTCTAGACGTCATACATCAAACTAAACCACTTGATATATGCAGATGAAAAATGTGTAAGCCCTTAGACTGATCAAATCAAACCAATGCATTTTCTCACTACCTTACCTCATCTATCAGAGACAGCAGTAGGCCTCCCGCAATCTTACAATTTCCACCGTGAAATCCTATGGCTACATGTACGGTGCAATATCTGTTCATTTCATATTTCAAATTAATATTCATATTAATTTCAAATTCATATTTTTATTTTCTGTTTTGCACTGTCAATCCCTTAAAACCTACTATTCCTTGGTCCAAAATTATCCAGTGCTGCCGATGCATTCCAACTTTCTATTTGTTTGCTGAGCACCAGAGGGGATCCTTTAACATTTCTCCCCCCCCAGGAGAACAGCCATGCAATTATTGCACTCTGTTGGGTTTCATCATTTTTTAGCTGCATCTGTGTGGCCACGGTTTGCACATAGGTCACAAACCATTCTAGTAAACATAAACATAAATGCCTCCACACACTCACATAAGCCAACAGGCAGGCACAGAGACACAGAGACATGCACCATACTCTCACAGTTAGTGCTATGCTATCTGGAATCCTTGGGATGTCCCTACCCTAAACCCTAACCCTAACCTTAACCCCTACCATTACCCTAACCATAACCCTTACCTAACCCTAACCCTAACACTATTCTTAACCTTTACCTTAACCCTTTTAAATGTCAACTTCAATGGGGTGACATCAGAGTTGGGACATCCCAAGGATCCCAAATAGACAACATGACCTGACCCGTAAAAACTCCCAGAGAGAGCCTGGAGTTAAACTAGGGTGTAGACGTCAGGTCAATGCGGCCTATCACTATGGCCCAGAGTTTTTCCTGGTCAGATCCCATTGGTTGTCTGAAGTGTCGTATTGTAGTTAAAGGTTGCTTAATGTTTAATGCCTCAAAACTTCTAGGCATACCAGCTTTACTCAGTCTGACAAGAATAACTGAAAACACTTTCAATGACAGCACCTCCTCTATCCGACTGAGACATACAGATTAGCCCTGGTGTTCTTTCAGAGGTTGATTTATGTGCTGAGCAGGCGTCAGCTCCAGGCGTCAGCTCCAGGCGTCAGCTCCAGGCGTCAGCTCCAGGCGTCAGCTCCAGGCGTCAGCTCCAGGCGTCAGCTCCGTTATGAAGCTGTGCACGTCAATTGCCCTTATTATTCTTTCTCTCCTTCCCATAGAAAGTTGAGCACTCAGCAACCTGAGGGGAGAACCTCAAACACTCGACAATCCTCCACAAACATTACATGGGCTCAGTCAGTCAGTCAGTCTGCCATTTGTGGAACTGCTTGTTTACCTCACAGACTTTATTTCCAGGGATGACAGTGACACAGAAAGAAAGCTAGGCTCATCCCTCGCAGTAGGGGAAGAGGGAGAGAACATTTTTACAGTACAGAAAGAATAAGGTAATCTGTGTTGTGCTGGGTCGATCTACTTTTACTTATTCTATGTAACTCATGATGCTGAGCTCTGTTGTGTGTTGTTCTTCGGGCAATTCATAACCCCATTCTTTTCAGAATAACAAATGTTTTGTTGTATACCAGATTCGAACAACACTTTCTGCAAGCTATTTATTCATTTGCAGTGAATCAAATCAAATCAAATCAAATGTTATTGGCCACATGCGCTGAATACAACAGGTGTAGACATTACAGTGAAATGCTTACTTACAGCCCTTAACCAACAATGCATTTAGTTTTTACAAAAAAGTGCAGAAGTAAAATAAAATAACAGTAGGAAGGCTATATATACAGGGGGGTACCGGTGCAGAGTCAATGTGCGGGGGCACCGGCTAGTTGTCAGTGTTTCTGTTATCCAAAATAACTGATTCTCTTTCTCTTGTCTTTCCAGTGGAGCTGAAGTTCAATCTGGACCAGTATGTGAACAAGCGTTACCCAGGCCTGGTGAAGATTGTCCGCAACAGTAAGAGGGAGGGCCTGATCCGAGCCAGGATACACGGCTGGAATGCTGCAACCGCCCCAGTCGTAGGCTTCTTTGATGCCCATGTAGAGTTCAACACTGCCTGGTAAGAACTGTGCTTCATCTTCATACAGTATCTCTTCATTGTCCTTTTTACTCTTGGGGTTCATGTTAGAGTGCAAGGGTTGTAGTCCTACATAATCGTAGATTAAATATGCAGGTCGCTCCTCAAGCATTTTGATTAAGTGTCAGCTAAACAGTGCTTATGCTAGGAGGAATTCTTACTGAGGCAGCACATTCAGGGAATATGACCTCCATTTTGAATGAGTTAGAACAGTTAATAAGCTTTTCCTAAGGTTCAACCTCATCACTTCTGAACTGTGACTAATGGCCAATAGAAAAGACACTGCTTGAGTTTCAATTATGTTACCTGTACTGTACTGTACTGTAAGTCGCTCACATAAGCCTAAACCATGTTTTTACGGTGTTGGGACAATGAAATAAGAGATAACAGATGAAATATTGTTTTTGCCACATTGTTTCACCCTCCTCAGGCCTTAGGCTTTAGTCTTATAAGCATGATGGAAATTACTTATGGGGGTCTCAACCCAATGTCTGGCTGGCACCTATGCTTACCACCAAACAAGTCACTCAAGCGCCTTGTAATTGGCACCTAATTTGAGCCTGTCATCCTGTCAGGCTTTTCAAGACGTAGTGTCTGTGGTGTGTTCCTGGGGAAGCTAGGGGAAGCTGGGGGAGGGCTGGAACCGAAGGTTTGGGTAATACATTGTTTGTCTACCTCCCTGGCTGTAGCTCAGGCACTTCACCTAACAAGATACCACCGCTGCTTCATAACTAAAACATCAACCAGAAAGGGAAGAGAAGACGACAAATATTTGCAGAATATATTTACTTATCGCTTCAATAAAATAGAGGTTAAATATCTTGTTCAAGAGTATTGAATTATATCATGTGTTATGAATAAAGCTTAGAGTTTCCCTGTAACAGGAAAATCTAGGGCCTAGATTTACCAAGTCAGGTCACGTCCTGGTCCCCTCCTCCCTACTTATGAATAAACAACTGTGTGATTCCTACATAGATTTTACTATAATAAATCAACACACAGCATCAAAGCTGAAAAAGACATACACAAATATGAACACAGATAGTATCATACAAAATCAAACCAAATCACATATTGCCACAGACAGTCCATCTACTGTGATCTGATCCGCTAATCATTCATCAATGTCAACCTTTTGACCTCTGGGCAGAGGAGGATCTCATGTACCTTGATCCTCGCCCAGGAGGGCTTTTAGTGAGAACTTAATGGACACTCCAAACCCACAGGGTGTCTCTGCCAGCCAGCCAGCTACATGGGGGAGTTGGTTGGTTGGTTTCATCAGGAGTTGGAGTGGGTGATGATAATTGATACCCTGGTGGTTCCCTCATCTGTTTCCCCATCTGCTCCTGTTAAAAAATGTATGTGCTTTTCCACCTCCTCACCACCCTTTCACTTCCACGGGTCCACCCTCATTGTTTCTGATGTTCGCTCCTGTTTTACATGCAGGGATCTGTCAGAATTTCCTTTGAGTTAGCTCACTTGCTGCCTTCATGACTCACGCACACTCACACACACACACACACTCACTCACTCACACACACACTCTACGTTTAAAACATTTCTCTAGTGTGGCTTTTGTTCGGTACGGCAGCCGTGCATTTGCTTTACGTGAGTCTATATTTACACTTGGATACCACTGATTCTCTGGAAGAAGCTGCGGTATGTTAAAAAAAACATAGAGATACTGTACATGAGATGAAAAGCATCAGGCATTCTAGGAAATAGGTTTTGTTCAATTTTTTCCCCACTTCAACTGTGAGTGGGCTTATATGTTTGCACAGAGCTGAGTATAATAGATTATATTTCAGTGGGAATATGGGGGAAAAAACATGACAAATTTGTTGAATGTATGTGGTGTATTGTGCTGCTAGCCCGCAACATTAGATGTGTCCATTCATTACAGTCACAAACCCCTCTATTCATCATCATATGAATATGCACTATGGCACATACTTCAGTGATAAGTGAGATGGATTGTTCCCCTGCCTTTTTGTCATGAGGCACAGTGAATGACCTTGTAAAAACTACTAGTGCATGCCCTGGCATCCAGTTTGCTGAGCCAAGTGAACGTGCTGGCATTCTGAAGCCAAGAAGCGGTCTAGTTGATATTGTTTACCCTTAGTATACAATTCATTATACACATTTTTGGAATTATAGGATAGTTAGATATAATTGCATCATACTTGGTTTATTTAAGTGTGAGTAGTTCTCATGTGAATAGTTTTCACAAATGGAATGGATGGAACATATTTACTTTCAGTTTTACAGGATGTTATATCATTGCATTATTTTGTGTCATCGAAATATGTGCACAATCAATTTCCTCCCTCTGAAGCCATTCCAGTACAACTGAACATCCAAGGCTGAGAAACAGGGTCATCCATTCCGAGGCGAACAGTCTAATCCCGCTAAGCTCCGTTTTTCTGTTCAGTAAATACAATTAATGTGGTGGAAATATGGCAGGGTTGTAATGAGCATCCACACCTCTTGAACTCTGAACTCACAGGGAGAGCCTCAGATAAATGTATATTTATTTGTTTTTTTAATTCTGCACCGTCTCCGATTATTAATGATGAATGATTAGTCCATGCGAACGTTATGTGAGTGTGTGTGCCTGCTGAGTGTGTGGGGGAGATAAGAGGTTGTGGGTGTTGGATGTTGGCTGCATGGCTGTAATGAAATGCACGGCTCACAATCCCACGCTTTAAAGCTGTGATGCTGCTGCACCTTGTCATCCCACCGTTTCCCAGGATTCAGATTGAGGTCAGGGAATGGAAAATAGGACAAATAAAAGAGAAAAGAGCAATGTGACTGTTCCAACCTCTTCCAAGGACCTCTCAACTGGTTTGGATTATGTGCTTTGCATACATTGCATTCGTTGTTCAGAAGTGTTTTACATATTTAAACAGGATTCAATTAGGTGCTTATCTTAGACAAATTTGTGAACTAAACACTTGTTTTCCAAACAAAGGAAAAGGGATAGATGGCAACACACAGACCTTATTTCCATGTAGTTATGTGCGAAACAATTAAAAAGTAATCTGACATATTTCTCAAAGCTTGGAAATGAATCACTTTTAATCAGTGGCATAGGCAGAAATCCGTTGATGGCCCAGCCAGCAGAAATGTAGGTGGGCCAAAATGTAGGCACTGAAATCATCATTAAATTATCATAAAAGCATTACCTACCCTATACCCTACTGTAATCGATCGCATACAACAAACCATCTAACATGTGCTTTTGCATTACAGATCAAATAGTCTTGTAGGCCTATGTAAATCCATGACTCACATATACCTACATATAATAAACCAGAGGCCTATAGCTTAATGAATAGACTTTGAGACTAGAACATAAAGCCCTAACATAACAGTAATAATTACAATAGGCTTGGCAATCTCTCAGATCACTGGCTCAGAGACCAGGAGATAGTAGGCTAGGCAAGGTGGCCACAAATGTGACCATTTAATCACTAGCATGGAGGCCAATCAAAGTAGATCAGGTTTGGATTAGGTTACACGCTGCATATTAAACAACATCAAAGGAAAGGTAAATTATAACAGTATTCTAATACACATAATAATATTCCAAAGCCTATATAGACTAGAACAGTGGTCACTAACCTTTTCTTAGTCGAGATCACTTTCTGATTCAAAATGCAAGCCGAGTGCAATTCTCTACTGGGCGTGGGAGATCAAGTGCACCTACAATGTCAGTTGTTGTAGCCTACTATTTGCGAGGCACATCCGAGCATAATTTGAAATAACTAGTTTTTTTATTTCACTGCACTGAGGGTCAGTCGGAATGAGGGAGAGAGTGCGATTTCTAAAAGTGCTGAATAAAAACAGTGTTGTAGTGCTAAAACAAATAAAACTCACTCATAAAAACAGCACCCCTTTGCTGTACTCTTTGACAATCTCTCTCTAGGCATGGTTTTTAAATCTTACAGTAGCCTGCTCTACAGTCAGCATCAACTTTGCTGTGGGCTCATGGAAGCTGCTGTAGACACGGTGATCTAAGCTATCCGATTGGCCAGCGGTATGACTACAGGTGCACCTAATTTAGCTCTCTGGGCCTGCCTGGTAGGCAGAGGTTGTATCTTCAGACAAATACAATTGTTTAAAATGGGAACACTTCACCTGCCCGGCATGCAGGACAGCTGAATCAAGTGGACCTATCACATTATTGGCGAATAGGTTACAAAACATATATATAAAAATAATCTTAGCCACCCTGATTGGCTGGGCCTGGATTCAAACTGCCAGTTCCGGTGCCCTGCCAGGCCCTGCTGTGGGCTCCAGCTTTTAATGGATATAATGAACTCAGTCTGCTTGCTGTGCTGTGCAGGTCTATTACTACAAGTATTATTTTTAATTAAACAGTACTGAGTTTTAGAAACCTGTGGCCTTCAAAACAAAATCTGAGCTAAAGTGAAACATGCCTTTCCTTTCCCCTAGCTCTGACTGACTGGTCTTGGTTCAGTGTTTATCCATCTTGAAAAGAGAATGATGGTGTAAATGCTTACACAGTGAGTGCTTCACAGACCACACACCAGGCAGGCATCCAAAAATACAGAATAGACAGAGATTTATGCTGCTAATACTACAGTGCTATCAAATCAGCCTTAACCCCCAAGCCTATACTGTATACCTACCAGGTCAACTGAAAGCGTACAAAGTAATATCAAGAATCTATCAAGATATTGCCAAAACCTTATTCACTGTAACTTTAAATTCAGTGTGAATTACCTTCTCTACCTTTCATCTGGAGCAGTCATTTTTACAGGAGTAGTATTGCCCAATATGAATATTTTTGCTACAGATTCAATCATTATTTATCCAAAGAAACAACCCTGAAGACAATTGTGTGACTGGATAGTCTAAGAGCTGTGCACAGTGTGCAGTCTTAATGTGCTAGAGCAGGGATGGGCAACTGGCAGCCCTTTTGTATTTTTTTAAGAACTCAGTCGGGGTCTCAACTTACTG